TTTTATCAGTTGTATGATTTGTCATAATCGCTCTGCTTGACACACAGGTTGACGAGCGCAGTAACAGACCTCACGGACCTTTAACGCTGCTGCCCGTCGCTGCTCTAATTAAGAATCAAAATTATCACTCCTGAGATCTCCAGTTCTCTACACTAACTATACGAAATATACAATAACAGCATAAGCGTATACTTGCCGTTGCTATTAAAAACTTTAACATTAGTTCAATTTTTGAGAAAATTGTTTAAAGTCGTGGATTATCCAATCACTATAAAGGCTCAAAATGTTCATCAAACACAACATAATGGTAGCTCCTAAAAAACGTTAGAGTCTAAGGGGTTACTTAAGATTCTCCCAAAGGATATAACAAACAGCACGCATTCCCAACCACTTGATTTCATTGATGCCTGCGAAGACTAACATGGTTTCTATAATTTCATCATGATTTATCGTTTTTCTCTGTCGATTGTCGCTTATATATAATTTGTGTATTCAGCTTGATTTTTTGGGCGTGTCGGTTAATCAAGTTATACGGTACGCACGTTTTTCCTCTCTATTCACGTTAAGAGAACGGATCGCTAGGAGCCAACAAAATTGATTTTTACCGTGCTCGTGCCTTGAGATCATTGAGTAGAGTATATAATTATATTTTTTAATTCTTTGTTGTAAGGTACATTTTTTATAAGATTTTATACGATGGGTGTGATAAACCGGCACAGTCCACCTGATGGTAAGTGGTTGCTATGGCCCATAGACATAGTCTACATCTATCCTCGATTTAGAGTCAAATGAATATGCGTTGTCACCCGTGAGCACTAAGTAGGAATGCCTCGTTTTCAGTAAAAAGGGTCTTCGGCTCTCTACACCCACTATACGAAACACAGCAGCGTTAAGCTGCTATTTTACGCTGGTATTCTGTGAGAGTGTGGTCCTTCTCCGGTCGAGCCGAACCATTCGTGCTACAACATACTACTAATACAGCTGCATCATAGTTCTACCACTTACGAAAGAGTGTCGTTAAAGTTGTCAGTTTTAGACAATTTTTATTACGGGAACTATCTCATTAGCTACACTAGTTGGAACTATTCATACATTTTTTTACAAACAAACGAAAATATTGTTAGAAAACCTGCATGCTTGCGAAATTTAAACCAAATAAGGACAGGTGAAGTTCATGTTAAGCGTCTTATTCACTGTCCATCTTGCTGTACGTCCCGCCAAGGTAATTACGTACTTCAAGCCATACTCATTGTCGTTTTGCATCGTGCGTCGTGCTTGACCTGGCGGGACGTACATCGAGATGGACCGTGAGTAAGGCGCTTTAAACTGTCTGTAGATTATATTCTTTTTGACGTTGTACATTTTTTGAATTATTAAACCTTTATTAAACAGAGTCACTGTTTGTGCTCTGTCACAGAGACCTTGTTCTTTAGAGGATGTTAATTTGTAAAAGGCTCGAATTCCACTCTGCCGTGTAATTAAAAAGCTCTTTATTTCACACTATTCTCAAAATAATGAGCACCTTCCAAAGGCACTGTGCTATTCCATCTTACTATATCATATATATATACCAAAATAGCATTGACGGCAACTGATCTTTAGCCACTAAGAAAAAAATTGTGCGAGTTATTATTTGGTTGTTGGTAGAGTTAATATATTTATAATGTAGCAGAGTCAGCCCCCGACTTCCACCTATTTTAGTCTTAATATTTTTACAGCAATTTGATCAATTTGCCGCCCAGTTATCGTTCTCATTCATCATCACAGCCCATTACAAGTCAACTTCTGATGATGGCATCAATGTACGGCCTTGAGCTACCTACATATCTGATTATATCGTCAGTCCATCCAATGAGCAGTCACCCTAGACTCCGTTTATCGATACAAGGCTGCCACTCGAAAAAAATTATTTACCATCGGTTGTCGATTCTACGAAACATATTGGCCCATTGCCACTTTAGCTCACTAAGCCATTCGGCTTTATCGATTTCGGTTTTTCTACCATAGATATCCTCATTACGAAGTCGATCACGCAGAGAAACTACAAGTATAGCCCTAATGATTTCTTAAATTTACGCGAACACTACACATTGAATAAAACTATTATTTACAGATTTTATCGCGTTTAATTACTTTAATTTATTTTTTATTATCCCGACGTTTCGGGTGCTTTACAGCACCTATGGTCACGGGGGGGACTGAGATGTTTGACGTCCCAATGTTATAGTTAGTCCGGCTACCTGCAGTTTTTGAATATTAATTTTTGGTCCGATTTACGCAAAACGAGCTTATAGTATCATGAAGTCTTGCAGTGGTATGCTTAGGTTTAGGTTTAATTTTGTTAATTATAGGATCCCAAGCAGATGGCAGCACCCATCCATCTTCTCTATTAAAATTTGGATGTTTTTTTTAATTTCAATAGCCTCGCGTATCATCCTTGGTAGGAATCGGTGTTCTTTTGCGAGAATTTGTGGTTTATCAAATTTAATGTAATGATGGGGACGATCTTGGACATGTTCGCAGACTGCAGACTTCCCGGAGTGTCGGTGCTTCACGTCAGCTATATGTTCCTTCACGCGGATTTTTATAGATCTTTTTGTTTGACCTATGTAAGAGAGACCATATTCACAATCTAGCTTGTACACACCTGCGTCCTGTAGAGGAATATTACATTTGATGGATGGTTAAAATTGACTAATCATCTTCGGCGGCTTGTAGTATGTTTTAATGGAAGCTCGCTTCAATCTTGTCTGTGACTCCTCTGACATATGGTAGTACAGCAGGCGCGCGCTCGACTGTGGTCGGCTTCACTCGGTCATTGTGACGTAGGCGCGGGACCCGAAGCTTGTTGTCTTGCAATACTTGCTTGACGTGCTGAAGCTCGGCGGCCAGGTGTTGTCTGTCACAGATCCCTCGTGCTTTCTGAAACAAAGATTTACCCGAGGTAGCTAACTGTGAAGGATGATGGTGAGATTCACCATTTAGGTATCGGTTGGTATGGGTCTTTTTCCTATATACAGTGTGACCAATTACACCTACAGTGTTATTAGGATTTCGGATCCTAATAACACTGTTGGTGTAATTGGTGTAAATCGAACCAAAAATTTATATTCAAAAACTGCAGGTAGCCGGACTAACTATAACATTGGGACGTCAAACATCTCAGTCCCCCCGTGACCACGGGTGCTGTAAAGCACCCGAAACGTCGGGATAATAAAAATAAATTAAAGTAATTAAACGCGATAAAATCCGTAAATAATAGTTTTATTCAAGTATAGCCCTATCCATCCAGCTCGCTGAGCAACCTTGCTTTGCAGGAGGGACATGTCTATGTTCTATATTATGTCATAATTCCTTGCCCTAAAACCCCCTCAGAAATGAAGGGAGGCCTGTGCCCAGCAGTGGGACGTATATAGGCTGTAACTTTACTTTACTTTATGTCATCACTGTCAACACGCACTGCTCAAAACTTGAAAACAGTGTTTACTATTGCTTTCAAGTTTTGAGGTTTACGTTACGAAAAGACCCTGAACCTGAACGCTACCCTGCCGAATTGGATCCTTCTATCTTCCTCTTGATCGAAGTTGGACTCACCTAGTCGGACTCAGTATCCGAAGTAATCGTCGCATGGAAACTAAAAATAAAAATAGAATACACAAACAAAATTTTATTTACAAAGATGTTTCATAGGTACAGATACCGTGTACGCGCGCCTAAAACGCTTCCATTTAAAAGGCGCCAATATTGGCGTATTCGTTCGATCGTTCCGCCATTACGCCAGCGACGTTCACTGCGAACGTACATCACACACCAGTGTTTTTAATTTCACAAAATGACTGTTTGTGCTGTGAAATCATGTAAAAATTACTCTTGGAAAAAGATAAGGATAAGAACATCACTTTTAATAAGTAAATATACAATTTTATGGTGTATTTCTTGATAAAATAATACGAAAGCTGAATGTCAATGCAAGTAATAATACTGCGCAATAATATTCGAGTGTTGCCTACCGTATGAAATGTTTTTCCCTATTTTAATGTCATTAATAGATGTAAAGCAACTGTTGACAATGGATATTTATCCAAAGCAGCCGATACGCAACCGTTGTGAACCGGTTGTTTAACCGGTTATTTGATCTAGTCCTGAAACTGGATCGATATATGAATTTTAAAAAAACATTTGCTATCTCTTGGCCGAAGTTAACTTTTACGGTTACACTTAATCAAACTTACTTTTTGTACGTCATTTTACTTAAGATTAAAAAATAATTAATGTCTTCGTAAAAGCGAAAATATTTTGGGTTCTAAGGTACGAAAGTGTAGTACTTTATATATATTCAATAATAACAGATTAGATCAATATAATATGTTAGATACATAAATATCTACTATGATATTTTATTTATTTTTAACTGTTACATTAATTATATCTAGGTTTTATTACTTATTTCACTATTTTAGTGCGATTTTCGTACCTACATAAAACACATATAACCACCCATATCCCTTCTGTGTGTATATCCCCATTCACATACGGACACAAATGCACACGCCTCGCACACACATTTTACACTCAGGTATGTCAATATGAATGAAATATAAAATCTCCCAAATTTTTGGGCAATCGATTCGCACTATTATTACCGAAGTCACGCACACTAATGCAGGCACACATGAATCAAAGACTGGCGTCACTGTGAACGGTGCGAAGTGTTAGCAAAACGGTATCTGTACCTATAAAACATCTTTGTTTATTTACATTAATTTATTAAATAATACAAAGTAAAATAAAATGTTTAATGACCGCAGCTTTGTAATAGTATTCTTTATTATTACTAATACGTTCAAACTACATTTACATTGTACTAAATAAAACGCAGTAAGAATGCTTTTGAATTTTATCTAACCTTCATATACTTGTATAAAGTTAATTGTATATTAAATGTTACGGACTAACTGTACTACAAATCATTACACTGATCTGCAATCACTAAACGTTGTTTACATAATACGAAAAGAAAGAATATTTTTCAAAATATCGGAAATCAAATGTAATTCCTTTTTAATTATTTTCACTATCTCTTTAGTAATTTTGAAAGATTTTGCAAAGTCTTCGGGTAATTCTTTAAGATTATCAATGTTGAACATACTAATATATTCCGCTTGAATATTCACAAATTCTGAAAATTTCCTCTGAAGCATATAAAACGCCCTTTTTAATAATGCATTTAATTCTTCAAATAAATAAGATAGCTTTGTATTGATTCCCCTTATAAGATCTTCTCGTTCTAAATTAACTAACATCCCAAATATTGTTTCAAATTTCTCTGGTATTGTCAGCGATTTGTCGACAAGTACATCATTTAGCTCTGAAATTAAAATGACGAATTAAACAATATTAGAGCTGAATGGGTCAGTTTGTAAATATTTAATCACTCTTTAAACTAAGGCATAGACAATGCATAAAATGATTTTATATTCTTATAGAAGCCCAGTAACACGATACGAATGACACAGTTTATTCTCAGTTAAAGAACTAAGTTTATGGGTTGTAATAAGGATTAAATTTTTACCATCGTTGTTGCTAACTAACATAAAAATGAATAATGTCAGTACTACTCGTAGTGTTTGAAGTTTCGTACACACATTATGATATACAATAGCCATATATTATGCTGCTTTTATTTTATTCATAGTTTCCTTTCAACGTAGCCCTTCCCTGGCAGATCTATTTACAATGTTGTAGCAGCTGTATCATTCCCCTTCATTTGATAATGATTCATCAACTCATAGTCAAAGATTATGGGAATAGTTAAATAATTTTTCTTTTGTCTTATAGAATAGGGGCAAACGAGCATGCAGCTCACCTGATGGTAAGTGACTACCGTCGCCCCTGATCAACTGCAACACCGGGGGAATCGCAGCTGCGTTGCCGGACTTTTAAAAAGGAGTAAGCTCTTTTCTTGATGGTCTCTTAATCGTATTGGTCCGGAAAAATCACCGGTCGTAAACGAATCCACAAAGAGGCAATACGAGGAATAAAACTACTAGTAAAACGCACAGAGGTAGACTGTCAAGCTTCCGTATGGTGTGTTTTGTCGCGATGTGTATTCGAAAAATTCGGCAGCTGGAAATAATCTGAACAATTCTTCAGAGCACTCCCCGTGGTAAACGCGATGAAAAATGCATCATTTCTTCGTAGCGCCAGTGTATCAGAAAGAACTGAGTCATCGACGATTTGAACCGCTTTGCGCTGGGTGTGATTAAGTGGAAGGAGCTGGCACGGGGTGTCCCGGCCCAGAGATGGGAACAGTATTCCATGTGAGGTCGAACTTGCATTTTGTAAAATTGTGCCGGCACGAAATAATTTCCTGCTCGTTCCCTTTCGAGTGACCACGAAACTGCACAACATAATATGTCGATGCCAAAGATTCCGATGATAGCTGAGGCAGCATGAGGAGTGCCCTGAAATTGACGAGATCATAACAAAAAGGGTTCTTTTTAGCGTTAAACGAGCAAACCGGTGTCTTCTGAGGTTTAAACTAGACAAGATTTAGTCTTTCCCAGTTCGAGACTATGTTTAACAATGACTCGAATTCAGAGAAGTTTGTTCCGGGAGTTGACGACGTGATCCCGAGAAATATTGACACGGCCGGTGTAAAAAGCATCACCAATGCTGTCGTCCATCCAATGAATGCTACTGGCTTGCAAAATTTATGCTTCCTAAAAAGAAAGCATTTTCCTACCGATATAAGCAATACTTTGCAGGTAAGATGCTGATGATAAATGGCAGTCAGGACTTTGATCTAATATTATCAGCATGGATAGATTTACCAAGTACTTAAAAATTCAACACTATAAAACATCAAAATGAAATTACCTCCTAAATCCGTATGGAAAGTATTTAATTTTTTTAAACTTTTTCCTAAAACTACATTTGTAACAAAGAAAAATAATACAAAAATCTTTACTGCCATTTTTCTATAAGGTTAATCGACTAAAATCCATCCATTTAAAGTGTACTTATATTAAACGTAATATTTTGGAATTTAAACGATTATCCGAGCAATGTTCCATATAAGATATTTTCTCTTATTAATGTGCGATACTGAATACATACTTTAAATAATCTAATTAACAAATACAGTCCGGTATCAGTTTTAGCATTTCATGCATTTTATTACTTTTCCACGTGAAGTATTACAATTAGTGTTGCCCAAAATCGGTCTTGGTCTTGTTCTTGTATTTTTGCAAGAACAAGACCGCCTAATTTTGGCAAGACCAAGACCAAGACTGACCGTGCAAGATTTGAGCAAGAACAAGACTAAGCCTGCGAGACTCTTGCGTCTTGCAGTTAGGAATGAGTGTCGTTTCAGGGAGTATAGGAGTTCGGGTATACGATTAGGGACTCTATGAGACGCAAAAAAATATATAAAAATATTTGGAAAATTGGACTTATGCGCATTACGAACTATACAATAAACATACATAGCGGATTTGGCACTGTTTGAATGCCGCTACAGAGTACATGTTCCAAATAATAAAATAAGTTTCCGGGTGCTCAGAATGGACACGAATACATTATGCTGATCTCGCAAGGAATATTGTAATTAGATGATGGTAAGGATAGGTACATACCATAATAATTTATTCTAGTAAGTAATTATTATAATATTAACTATATGGGTTTATAATAATTACTTACTATTATTATTGTTACCTAATAGATAAACATGTTCAATAAGTTCACTGCAAATCTCGAGTTTTGGAAGTGTGTGTTTTTGAACACAAAATGTTCGAATATGTCGTCACCCATTTGATAAATATTGTAGACAATTTTAACACACTTGAAACGTGTAAACATTTTGTACAATGCTAATCGAATAATATAAAAAGTGTGCATATTAAATAAAAAGCGTAAAATAAGATCTATGTACTTTTCAGGAGCCCGGGTATCTCTTAGAGAACCTTTTAAAGAAATTGATTGCATCGAATTGATGTAAATAATAGTGATTTGCACAATTTTAATAGTAGAAATAAAAATAAAATCACAATACCTGCTTTCCGGTTACACAAAGTATATAATGCGTTCTTGGGTAGCGATATACGCTTTTATAATAAGATTCCAAAAGAAATGTTAGATCTTTCACCTTTTCAATTTAAGTCAGATAAAAATGCTTGGAACTGACCTCTCGTACTACACAGGACTAACTAGAAATTTCTAAACCGATTTGGTATCTACATATACATTTGACATTTTATGTTTGACTCATCGCTTTACATAATTATAAAACTATTGTAAAAATATTTTAAAAAGAGCTACTACTGAGTTTTTTACTTTCTTCCATGATTCTTCTCAGTAGAATCAGAACATGGACATGGAAAAGAAAAAATTGGGGAAAACAGTGATTATATGACTATTCAAAAGTGTATTTTTAATGCCTACTTGAATAAAACATATTTGAATTTTGAATTTCAAACGAGTGAAAACAAATTTAATTTAATTAATGTAGATTAATTCAATCACAAGAAGAACATAATATACACAATTTTATTTACATATTTACATTTCATTTTTACGTAGGCACACTATACCTATCTGGCAACGCATCTACTTTACTAATCTTCTGAAGAATCATTAATTTTATCAAAGGATGCCGAACTTTCCTTTGTCAGTCTTTCGGCGTGTACTTACAAATAGTAGTATTTTTTTAATTCCAGTCATTCCCAATTGAGCTTTGCTTCGAGTCTAACGTATTAATTGTTTTTACTCTAATCCTTGTTGTTCTCGGAGTGACAAGTTTACAATTTGACATGAGTGACGAATAGTCGAATAGTTCTAGTCGGAGTAGTGAGAGTTGGAGTTATAGATCTAAAAGACCTAAAAGTAAATTTGATGAGTTTTTCGACATAATTCATGGATCTCAAATTGCTTTGTGTAAATTATGCCAACATAAAAAGTTTGAAATAAAAATGTAAAACAGAAACACTTCAGGCTTAAGGAAGCATTTAATATCTTTCCACAAAAAGGAATCACAAGTATTTCTTCCTGAAAAACCAAAATTAAGTGGAGATATCACAAGCTTTTTAATAACCACCGGAAAAAGTGGACAGGTAAAAAAATATATACTTATCACACAATAACATAACACATATATTATGTAACTAGCGGCCGCCTGCGACTTCGTCCGCGGACAATATCTGATTTCCTATGAGATTTTGAAATTTTCTCGCTGCAAAAGTCTTACCTAAGTATAAAGAGGCTATATAGGTAAAGCTTAACTATGCAAGTATTTATTATTTAAAACTAATAAAGTAAATGTCGTACTTCATACCTATACTTTAAAAATATAGGACTTGCATGTAACCATTTTACCCCAATTTCACCCCCTTTGGGTTGGGATTTCGTAAAATAGCTTATTCAGGATTTTATTATTGAAAATTTATAACTTTAATGCCGATTTTCGTATCTCTAACTTCAAAAACGTAGGACTTTCATAGAAACTTCCAACTCCCATTTCACTCCCTTAGGGATAGATTTTCTCAAAACCGTTTCTTAACTGATCTTTATGCCATAAAAGGAACCTACCTTACAAACTTCAAGTTTGTATGTTTTATAGTTCCTGAGATATCGTTATAGTCAGTCAGTGAGTGGTAGTTTTATATATATATATATAATATATATATATATATATATATATATATATATATATTATAGTGTTAAATATGTGTTTATAATTCACTCATATTTTCATTTGTTTTTATAATCGGCGAGACACGTTATTTACTGTTTTATTTCAGTCTGAAAATAGCAGTGACAACATCACGACAGCTACATTTGATTGGATGGTTAAAAAATATCTTCCCTTCTCATGTTCCGATGATGAAGCTACACAAGTACATTTTCGATCAATTTGCCCAAATATGGTGTTTCCTAAAAGGTCCACACTTAGAAGGAAGGTCAAAGAACGGTTTGAAGAGCTTCAATTGAATCTTAAGAAACGACTACAACAATTTTCATCTAAAATGTCATTTACCATTGATGGATGGACGTCAATTGCTGGTAGGAGTTACTACGGGGTCACTATTCATTATATAAACAACGAATGGAAGTATCGATCTGTAGTCCTTGATTTTATACCATCACGCGTTCGACATACTGGGGAAGATATTGCAACGGTTTTCCACGAATGTTTATTGGAATATGACATAATTGAAAAAATACAGGGTATCACGGTCGACAACGCAACTGCAAATACCAAATTTATGTATGAATTGGACAAACAGCTGCCACACTTTGATTCAGACAATCAACATTTCCGGTGCTTTACTCACATTTTGAACCTCGGTGTACAAGATTTATCAAAGACCTTAGCATTACACAGTGAAACTGACAATAAGGGACAAGAACAGCAGTATGAAGATAATGAAGACGAAACTGAGGAAGATGAAGAATATGCGCTAAATATTGCTGACTCACGTACAGCTATAACAAAATTACGCAGTATTTCCAGTAAAATAAAAAGAAGTGAGATATTGAAGAGGAAGTTTCAGTCTGCTTGTGAAGCAGATGGCATGCCATCAAATCTGAACCCCATACTCGACTGTTCAACGAGATGGAATTCCACACATGATATGATTGGATTTGGTTTAAAAGTGAGAACTGGCATTAACATATTGTGCACTTCTGTCACCGAATTGAATGATTTTCAAATCACAGATATTGAATGGCAAATACTCGAAAAAATACATAAGTTTCTAATAAACTTTAAACTTCTATCAACGAAACTTGGTGGAGAAAAATATGTTACATTACCGCTAGTCATTGTATCATTCAATCTCTTGCTCGATAAAATTGAATCCATGGTAAAACAATTAGATGAGAAACCTAATCAATCCGAAGTGGATGAAAGGCTCATTCTGGGTTTTCAAGCAGCTCGAGACAAAATGCTTAAACATTATAAAAAGAGCAACTGGATTTATTGTACCTCTTCAATTTTAGACCCAAGGCATAAGACTCAGACTTTTGACATGACATTATGGGGGAAGCAAATTAAAACAGGAAGCCTGCGCAAATTTAATGAACTTTATAAATAATATAAAAGTCTACACTCAGTGAATTCATCTCTAGAATCACCAAGAAATGAAAAAAAAGTATGTGAATATGATGTAGATGAAGACGTAATAGACTTTGAGAAATTGTATGCATGTCTCTCGACGTCATCTGGATCTGGATCTTTTCATCAAGGCTTAGTTATAGACGAGTTGAATGAGTACCTAAGTAAACCCAGAGCCGCCAGTTCGGAAGACATTTTAGAGTGGTGGAGGACACATGAGACAGAATATCCGACTTTATCGAAGATGGCCCGTGATTTTCTTTCAATACCTGCAACTTCAGTACCTGCTGAGAGATTATTTTCTAAAGCATCATTAGTAATTAGAAAACATAGAAATAGGTTAAGTGATGAGTCAGCCAGATGGTTATTTTGTGTTAATTCTTGGTCAAAAGAATTAATATAAAGTAACAGTAATGTCAAAGCTGTTGTGCACTGTTATGTAATTTAATTTGAAATGTATTTTATTTTTTTATTTAAATAAATGGTAAATTGTATAACTCTTTTATTTCATTTCATCTAAGGGTCTATCAATCTCTTTCTAGACAGATAATGTTCTTTATAATACAATCAAGTTAATGTCATTAATTTGTTTTTTTATATGTTTTGACTAAGTTTTAGCACATGTAAGCTTATTAAATGTAAACGTTTATTAAGAAACAGACTAACTCCCGTGGCCGTGAGACTCGGTAGACAGCTCAGTTGGTTAGAGCATCGGCACGGATCGCTTAGGTCGTGGGTTCAAACCCCACCCGGCATTAGTTGATTTTTCGAATTTCTCATTAAATGTTTAGACATTTATTAATTTGGTTGGTCTTTCTATGGCTATGTTAATTCAAGCTCAAAATGTGCCTACTCGTTAA